CTGCTGTCCGTCTGTCCGTCTGCTCGCCTGTCTTTCCGTAACGTCTACAAAAATGTTATAAAAGGGACCACGCGACCACATGAAAGCGATAGGCCCCGATTAACTATGTGCAATCGTCCTTTGCAACGGTTAAGTTATTTTATATCAATTCAAAGATATTTCCCTGAAAGGTGTTTGATAGATGATTGACACGACTCTGTTGTTAAAGAAAAAGTGTGATGTACAGAGGCAACATACTAGTAATTTCAGGTGGAAAGAATACATTTTAAATTAAACAAATTAAAAATATTATTAAATTATGTAGCCCGGTATTGTGACGATAATTAAATGCTCGCCATGTTTTTTAATTTATTTAATTGAAAATATATGTTTTCCACCTCAAATAAGAATTGACGGCCAGAGAGCAGCCTACTGCTCTGAGAGACCCGGGATCAAATCCGATCGACTCGATAAAACCCTAAGAAATTTTTTGGTCAGTAATACATATGTCCTTCACAACCAGGTTTCCCAATGTGAGCTTGGATGAACCCATAATAGGCTTGCTAAAAGAGGCCCTGTTAGTGCCACAGGGAAAAAAAATGTTACAAAAATACCTCAAATAATTACTGCTGTGTCTTGCCCCTGTACATGATATTCTTCCGTTAAGAATTGAGTTGTGCCGTTCATGTATCTAAGTTTTTTCACAGTGGAAAATATTTTTTATAAAAATGACGTGACTTATCATTTGCATTGGAAGTTCACATATGGTAAGTAGAGCCTAATGCTTCTACGCTTTTTATATCTAGTTTTGCATTTAATTTATCTAACACTTTTTTCTACCGTCAGGAACGACGGACACAGTGAAAATGTATAAATCTACAACTATTTTTTTCAAATTGCAGCTCAATTAATTGAGACATAGGATGGGTCCTCGGTTTACATTTTTGTGCTGCAGCGTTAGAGAAACAGTACAGAATACGTGCAAAATCTAAAGAATTGTTTTTTGTAACAATAAGTTTAATTTAACATTGCAATTGTGTAGCGCAGTTTAAAATAGTCTAAAATATGTAATACTTTAAAAAATCCCATAAAAAAACTACTGGAACCAGGTTAAAGAAGTAAAGCTCAGCAGAAACATTAAGTAAAGGAAACTTTTGAACGTTATGGCATAAGAATAGTGGAAACACATTTGACAGTAAGACTCAACATGTTTATAAAGTGTCGTTACTCAGAATACAATTACATCAAGTTTCAGAGAAAGCAATTTTCCCATAAAATTAAACAGGAAAAGTAAGCATCGTCACAGAAAAAAGACTCGAGCTTTACTTTGTGCTCCAAACTTCCTTCGATGATACTGCTAAAAGATGTTCTAACCTTCACCCAAATAAATGTAGTGTGTGACAAGTTTAAGGCACTAAGTAAAGCTCAAAGTCTTTTGTTGTGACAATGCTCATTTTTCGATTTATTATCGTGATGACTGCTTCTTCCTAAACTTCCCACAGTCGTAGTTTGTGTGATGTGCGCTTTATTCACATGTTAAATCTTACTGTCAAATCTGTTTCTACTATTCTTATGCCAAAATTTTCAAATGTTTCCTGTATTTTTATGTTTCTGTTGAGCTCAACTTTTTCTACCTGGCTTCACCAGTTTTTCAATGGAATTTCAATTATTATTCACTTATCAATAACTCGAAAAAAGAATAGTTTTATAAAAACTCTATATTTTCTTTAGTGTCTCAGAGAATAAATGCATAAAATTTTGTGCAGATCGATCAAGGGAATAATTAGTTAATAAGAGAAGGTACCATCCGGAGAGAAACGGGTGTCCAGGTGGTAGACTATACTTTCCTTAGTGTTTCAGAACATAAATATATTAAAAAATATAATAAAGAGCTAAGAATAGAGACAGTCAAACGTTATCTCATTCGTATAAAGCAGTAGACACGAGGTTTCAAAACGTGGAGATTTGCAAAAAAAAGTCGGAAAGTCGAACTCGACACGATTCCAATCTTTTCTTGATATACATAAATACATAAGAACAAAAGTAAAATGGCAAATTATTTTATAAATATATATATATTTTTAAATTATTAGGCTTCTATTAATTAAAAGTAATAGCAAAACCTCACTTCACGTGGTAGACGATCAACCAATGAAATTTTAATATTTAAAAAATAAGCTATAATTTTATAAATCTAAATATATAAAATTACTTGTCTTGACTGACTGAGTCACTGATTGATTGATTCATCATCGCCCAGAGCAAACTGCTGTACCTCAAGAGGTGAAATTTGGTACACAGTTACGATACGTCATGAAAACGCACACTAATAAGGGATTTTTCGAAATTCCCTTGCGGGGGGAGAGGGAGAGGATTAAGGCTTCACTGGAAAAACGGCTTCTACTGTACTATTTTAGATGCAATATTTTGTTTTTATTTGCGTTTTAGTAGGGTATGCCATGAGAATGCACACTAAGAAGGGATTTTTCGAAATTCCCCCGCGAGGAGGGAGAGGGAGAGGATTTAGTCTTCATAGAGTACTTAGGTGTATTAAATAACATTTCATACATTGTTATAAATATTTTTATGTATTTCGATTTTAAAAATGTTCGAACTGTTTTAAATTCGAATTTGTTATTGCATATTAGTTGGATTATAGAACGATTGTAAACGTTCCAGAAAATTGATCAAATTGAAAATAGTTCGTTTGATTCTCGGCAATTTTCATCATTCTCAGCGATAGGTGTTATATAACAACTAGCTGCAAGGACCCGCTTCGCTGAGTTTTTATTTGTATGTAATATAGTTATATATATATATATATAAAAGACTGTTTTTCTAAGTAATCTAGAATCTAGCTGCAAGGACCCGCTTCGCTGGG